TGCACCATGGATGGATAGATGGATGGATGGAAGGAAGGGAGGGAGGGAGGGAGGAAGGAAGGAAGGAAGGAAGGAAGGAAGGAAGGAAGGAAGGAAGGAAGGAAGGAAAAGAGCAATAGCACTTAGACTTATATACCGCTTCATGGTGCTTTCACAGCCCCCCCTAAGTGGTTTACAGAGTCAGCCTCTTGCCGTCAACAATCTGGCTCCTCATTTTACCCACCTCGGAAGAATGGAAGGATGAGTCAACCATGAGCCATTCAGGATTGAACTGCTGACAGTGGGCAGAGTTAGCCTGCAACAATGCACCGTAACCTCTGTGCCACCAGGGCTCGTAATCTTAAAGATTCTCAATCGTCCAGTTGTCTGAAAATTGAGTCATGGTAGCAGGACTTATTTTTGTTAGTTCCAGTTGCCCATGGCTCAACCTTCCAGCAGCTTTCCCTGGAAGATGGAGAATGTTCAGCAGCCTATATTCTCTTCTTGAAAACATCTGCAATCCCCTCAACCCTCTTCCTGTCTTTGAAGGTGCGCCTGGCCTTGATGCACGCGGAGTACTTCATGAACAACGTCAAAATGCACGATTACGTGAAGGACAGCGAGGAATGCAAGCCCATCGTGATCGATGCCCTCAAAGCCATGTACGACCTGAACATGAACGGCCCTTCGAGTTCCGACTTCACCAATCCCCTGACGAGACCCCGGCTCCCTTACGCCATCCTGTTTGCCATTGGTGGCTGGAGCGGAGGGAGCCCGACCAATGCGATTGAGACGTACGACGCCCGGGCGGATCGTTGGGTGAACGTGACTTGCCAGCAGGAGAGTCCCCGGGCGTACCACGGTGCTGCCTACTTGAAGGGCTACGTCTACATCATTGGCGGCTTTGACAGCGTGGACTATTTCAACAGCGTCAAGCGGTTTGAGCCCATCAAAAAAACCTGGCACCAGGTGGCCCCCATGCACTCCAGGCGCTGCTACGTTAGCGTCACAGTCCTTGATAACTTCATCTATGCCATGGGTGGCTTTGACGGCTACGTGCGCCTCAACACGGCAGAGAGGTACGAGCCCGAGACCAACCAGTGGACCTTAATCGCTCCCATGCACGAGCAGAGGAGTGACGCGAGTGCCACGACACTCTACGGAAAGGTAATTATTGTGCAGAATTTTCCGGCGGGGAGTAGAATTGCCAGGCCCTTTGCAGGCTCATGCCTTGGATTTTTCATCATCATCATCTTCTTCTCCTCCTTTAAATGACACCATAATCTCTTTGCAGGTTGGAGTCTGGGCAACTAAATGGAGCTGAGTGTTTACTGGCCGGATGCTTTTCTTGTCACCGGTGCGGAGTTTTGTTTTTTGCAGCAGACATTTTCTCACGGTGCCCAAAGAGTGAAATATATGCCTCTGCAGATATCGAACTCACAGCCTCCTGCTTGTGAGGCAAGAGTGCCACCTCTAGGCCCCCGCACCACACGAAAAGCGCCCCCTTTTCGGCACTTGGGGCTGAAAAAGTTCGCCATCACTGCTCTATAGGTTGCCTGAGCTCCCAGGTTTGGTTGAAGTTTGGGCTGCTGAGATGAGATGGGATGAAGAGGCTCGTCTTCTGAAAGGGTGTTGGGCAATTCCTATTATGGTTTGGATCTTGAGTGATGGCCAGGGGTGAAATCCAGCAGGTTCTGATAGGTTCTGGAGAACCGGTAGCGGAATTTTGAGTAATTTGGAGAACTGGCAAATGCCACCTCTGGCTGTCCCCAGAGTGGGGGGGGAGGGAATGGGGATTTTGCAGTATCCTTCCCCTGCCACGCCCACCAAACCACACCCACGCCCACCAAGCCATGCACACAGAACCGGTAGTAAAAACTTTTTTGGATTTCACCACTGGTGAAGTCTAATCCTATCACTCTGCCTTTGTTCAGACTTTGCTGCAGGGAATTTCAAAACCCTCCTGCCTGGAATGGATTTCTGCCGGCAATATTTGCTTTGCCTATGAATAGAGCTATCTGTCACTTTGCCTCTTAAGTGGTGACCTCTGCTGTGGGCTATTAAGAAAAGGCGGGGGCTGTTTTCTCCCTCTAAAACAAAAGCTTATCATTCAGAGAAATATAATATTCTGCCTTTTTTTAATAGTTCTCAAAATATTTCATTCCCCTAGGAGAGGAGTGGGTGCTAACTTCCTAGCTGGCTGGGTGATTTTCAGCCAATCACCAGGAAATGGTGAGTTCTAGTGCTGCCTTAGCCATGAAAGCTGGCTGGGTGACTTTTGGCCAATCACCAGATGGTGAGTTCTAGTCCTGCCTTAGGCATGAAAGCCAGTTAGGTGACTTTCAGCCAATCGCCAGGAGATGGTGAGTTCTAGTCCTGCCTAAGCCATGAAAGCCGTCTAGGTGACTTTGGGTCAATCGCCAGGAGGAGGTGAGTTCTAGTCCTGCCTTAGGCATGAAAGCTGGCTGGGTGATTTTTGCCAGTCACCAGGAGATGGTGAGTTCTAGTGCTGTTGAGTCGTGAAAGCTGCCTGGATGAGTTTGGGCCAGTGTCTCTCTCTCTCTCTCTCTCTCTCTCTCTCTCTCTCTCTCTCTCTCTCTCTCTCTCTCTCTCCTCTCTCTCTCCCTTTCTCTCTCTCTCTCCCCCTCTCTCTCTGGTTAGCGTGAGCCACCCAGCCACCGAG